TATAGTTACAAAGTTTTTCCTAATATCTAACCTAACTCTTCCTCGCTGCAGATTAAGCCCATTTTGTGATCGAGCAGTGAATTTCTTACTTGCCTTTAGGGTGTGAGAAGGAACCTAGAACATCTGCTCCCTACACTGATGTCTGACTTTACAAATACTTCTATATTAGTGGGATGAGCTGACCCATGCTCACTGAAAATACACGAGATAGAATAATAACAACTGTATTGATAAAGTGCCCCTCTGCGGTCATGCATGGTAGAGATGAATAGGAAACCAGTATTGAAAACAAATTGCAGGTTTGTTACTTCTGTAGGGGGAGAAAAGAGAAGAGTAAATAGAATTATAAGGGCTATTTGCTGAACTTCTTCTAACTAGAGGCAGAAGTGCAGCCCCTTCACTTCTACAATATGGCATATAGCTTCCCTTATCTTTGTAATAAGGGTGCAGTCTAGGGAGACTGCAGGCCTCAATGTGCCATGTTCTATTTTGATCTGAATGGCCTCTGTTTGCATCAGAGCAGTGTATTGTATGTTGGGCCTATTATATGCACTGCCAGATGAGTGTGGCTGCAATCTGGTCAATTTATATAAATGTGGTGAGTCCCTTGGGCTCTAGCAAATTGCCAAGGTGACGCTTGACTGGGCAAAAGTATATGCTGTGCCTGCCTCATATTTAAAAAAACAACACCACCTTCACCATCATTTTGTAGCTTGTACAGGGTATTTGGAAGTGTTTTGTATCATCTATATAATAAGAGTCCAGGAATCTCACTCTGTGTATCGCTTGAAGCCTATTATCTCTATACAGTCAGTGTGAAGCAACAGAAGCAGTTACAAGCATAGCTGAGGCTCTTTTTGTCCAGAATATCACCAGGTTAAATCATCACTGGATTTTGCAGTCTGTTACAGTCTAACTTTTAAATTCTCAGCCATTTTGACTTAGTAAATTATACCTGTGCAATGTACAGCAGCTACAGTAGGGCATGCATCTATGCCATGCCAGAGCCTTAGACCATTGTGATAGCAGAGGTGACTCAACCAATCACCTTACTCTGCAGCCAATTTGTATGCAACAGTTTCATTGGTCGTATGAGGGAGACTGCACAGATGGTTGATTACTTAGCCCAGCTGCTACAGTTCTTCAAAACCACCCACACCATAACACAACCAGCACACACAATCACCCCAAATATGCATAGCCCATCATGCAGCAAATACCCCTCGTTTGCCACCCGCACAAATCTCCCAGGATTATCACTTGATCTGTGTGTCATTCGGACACCTGGAATGTCTGTTGAGTCAGTATGAAGTGATGGAAACAGCTATATGCATGGTTGAGAGCTCTTTTTGCTTAGCATATCACCAGGTTCAATCATCACTAGACCCTTTGAGAATCAGATGGACTGTTGTAGTCCAAAGGTTCTGTGGCAGTTTGCATGCGACTTGTAACAGTTGATCAGAAGAGACAGGAACAACAGCTATGCGGGATAACAAAGGGGGGATTGTGCCTTCAGCAAGGGGGCAGCTCTGTGCATAAACTTTGGGGAATATGTACAAACAGCAATATTGCTCGCTACAACACAGTGCATGGAAACAAAAGCCCCAAAATACCACCTATGTGGCTTTACTGCCGCTGTATATAATTTCCTGTTCACAAATACATTGTGGGTTGTGTTAGCATGTTTACTGCTGGGTGTTTTGTGATCATGTTTACTGCTATGGTGTTCAGTGATATAGTACATATACTGGTAAAGTAACTCCTCACTTAACGTTGTAGTTATGTTACTGAAAAATGCTACTTTAAGCGAAACGATGTTAAGTGAATCCAATTTCCCCATAAGAATTAATGTAAATAGGGAGGTTAGGTTCCAGGGAAATGTTTTTTGCCAGACAAAAGAAAGGGACTCCACTCCATATCATATGCTCAGTTCAACTGCAAGAAATCAATGTCTCTCTCTGGATGTGGGAAAAGCCCTAGACTGAGCTGAATGGAACTATTCGTCATTAAGTCTAGAGGGAAATGGTTTTGGCTCCAATTTTTTTTCAATTGGACCAGATTTGGCACTTTGGGTCAAATTCTGACCCAGAATAAACAAAGTGCTTCTCCACTGATTGTAGTGCATTTGCATCTAGTAACACAAGGTATGAATCTGGTCTTTTATGAATCCATTTTGACATAAAATCTATGTAATTGTATTATGTCCTCTTGATGTTAGAAATAGGATCTGTTTATATAGTTACTTATACACCCCCATCACTATAGTATCTGAGTTTATAACAATAGCAAGTACACCGCTACCTTGATATAACGCGACCCGATATAACACGAATTCGGATATAATGTGGTAAAGCAGTGCTCCGGGGGGGGCGAGGCTGCGCACTCTGGTGTATCAAAGCAAGTTCAATATAACGCGGTTTCACCTATAACGCGGTAAGATTTTTTGGCTCCCGAGGACAGCGTTATATCGAGGTAGAGGTGTACCACAATCAATAAAAATAAACAGCTGCAGCACTAGAGACAATGTATGAAAAGTAGTCTATCAGTCCCTCTGGAGTAATCTCATTCTATAACACTAAAAAGTGTAAAAACTGCTAGGCTAAACTATTAGATAATTTTAATAGGTTACATTCCCTGACACCCAGTTTGGGCTCAACCACTCCCAGGTGCTGAGTCCCCTCAACTCGCATTTGATTTCAGTGTTCTTCCCAGGATCTGGTCCATTAGTATTTCCAGATTCTTAGATATTTAACTTTTGCTTGAGTCCACATGGAGGATTATTATTAAGTTGTACAATAGCTCCATACTTAGAATGTCAGTTAGGAGTTTATACAATAGGTAGTACTTATGGGAAAACATTTCCACAATCGAGGAGGATAAAATATGTTTGAAACTTACAAAGTATAAAGCTTTTTTCATACCTTGACTTTTCCAGCCAGACACTAGATTAAATGGTTTCACCTGACAACTCAGACTTACTTTCTCTGCACTGTACTACTGTAGGTTTTGTTCATACATTACTACACAGAAGTTTGCACTGCATTTATATCTTGGAGAATATGTTGAACTTGCAGTGCCAAGAACTGCTTGTTCTATTCTGTGTGTACAGGATTTCTATTGCACACAGCAGGTTTGTCTATCTGGAATAAATTGGTGAGTAGTTACAATTTTTTTCTGGGTTTATTTGTACATTTTTATATACCGTTTGCTTTTAAAACTCAACAAGAGTTATTGACAATAAAACAGGAGATTAAATTTTCTAACATCAAGCTTGGAAATATGAATAACATTCACAGGGATTTATAATGTATGTCTTTATAAGCAAAAGCCACTTTCAAATCACTTGTATATAACATGGTGTATATTGCCGACCTGTGACAAAAGATAGACATTATGTAACTACCATATGCAAAGGAAACATATGAACCAAACTTAATTTAATGCTAAGACCTCTCGTTGGCTTGCATTAAATTAAGTGGAGCTCTTTGCAGGATCAGGACCTTACTTTCCTGCATGTATTTTCATTTTGCTTGGGCTGGATATATTTTCTGGATCCAAAATAGATTCTGTTAACATTGGAATCAAAGGACAGTCCTTAGCGAAAACAGGCTTCAGTATTCTTAGTTTGCAGTTTCAGTATCTTTATTTCATAGTATTCTGAGCCACCATAAGAATCTCTAACATTTTTAATTAAATACTTGTTTCTCTTTGATTCTCGAACATTTTGCACTTGCAGTATATAGAGCCTGTTACCTGAGGCTCATAGGAAATGTAGAAATTGTCATACTGGATCAGATCAGCAGTCCATCTGGCCCAAGATCTTATCTCTGACAGTGGCCAGAACCAGATGCTTCAGAGGATGGCATAAGCCTGCAGTAAGCATATATAGGATAATCTGTTCTGGCCTCCCCACCTACATCTCATCCTGATCTCTAATAGAGATTGGTTTAAGACCTGCAATACAAGGCTTAATATGGCTTCCAAAACTTTTATTGTCAATATTTATAACTCTGGATTTTTTTGATTGGCTATTCATATGGCTAGCTCTTTTTTAATCTTAAATTATTTGGCTCCCAAGGTGCTTTATTAATATTAATTAACTTCACAATGTCCCTGTGAAGAAAACAGGCAAGTAGTCTAATTCCCATTTTACAGATGAGGAAACTGACAGAGGGGGAGGTATTAGATGAGAAAATGATTTTCAGCACTAAAATATACACTGCTTGTAGTACACAAACATTACAATCTGGGTTAAACTGCTCATATGCAAAATGCAAGGCAGTCCTGGGATTTTTCAAAAGCACCCTAAGGAGTCACATGCCCATTTCCCATTGAAAGTAACTGGAGCTGGTTGCCTAATTCCCATTAGTGCCTTTAAAAATCTCCTTTTCTACAAGTGTAGAACAGAGAACCGCAGCATCCTTCCCTACCTTGGCTATGCTAATGCAGGCCAGAGAAATCCAAAATACTCATGCTGTGCTACCACAAGTCAGAGCAAGCAACCCCTTTAATATACGGTGTGTTATACCAGTGAGCTACTGCCAATATATGTATATGCCCCCCCTCTAATACACATCAGGTAGTGCCCCTTCCTGGGTGCATGTCACTACATATAAACACCCCATTATGTCATGCCAGTTCAGTATATAATCTATGCTACTGCAGTCCCCACATATATACCAGGACAGCACTCCGCCCCCCCCCCCCCCCCCCTTACTTCCCCCCCCCCCCCCCCCCCCCCCCCCCCTACCCCCCCCCCAGCGCCCCCCCCCCCCCCCCCCCCCGTACACCGTGACCCCCCCGCTCGAGAAGCTCCCCCAGTGTAACCACACCAGGCCAACTCCACCCGTGTTCCCCCCCCCATGGCAACTCCTGCCCCAGCGCACCCCCCGCAGCGCTCAGCCCCACCCCGGGGGCGGCCCTGAGGGGAGGCCGGCCGAGGCCCCCGCCCTAGGCCCAGCCCCTGAAGGGGCGGCCCGACCCCGACGCAGGCCGAGGGGCAGGGCCTGGGCCGGCTGCTCTCACTCGGCGCCGCCATGCCCAAGGTGGTGTCCCGCTCCGTGGTCTGCTCCGACACCCGGGACCGCGAGGAGTACGATGATGGCGAGAAGCCGCTGCACGTTTACTACTGTCTGTGCGGCCAGATGGTGCTGGTGCTGGGTGAGCCGGGCGGGCCGCCCGCCGCGGAGCGGCTGGGCCCTGGGGCAGGGACCCGCGGGGAGGGGGCAGCTGGGGCCTGGGATCCGTCGGGAGGGGGCAGCCGGGGCCTGGGGGAAGGGGACAGGGACCCGTGGGGAGGGGGCAGCTGGGGCCTGGGATCCGTCGGGAGGGGGCAGCTGGGGCCTGGGGAGAGGGGCTGGGACCCGTGGGGAGGGGACAGCTAGGGCCTGGGGGGAGGAGGCCTGGGGGGAGGGGACAGGGACCCGTGGGGAGGGGGCAGCTGAGGCCTGGAGGCAGGGACCCGTGGGGAGGGGGCAGCTGGGGGGGAGGGACCAAGGGAAGGGACCTTAGTCTTGGCTGAGTCCCTATAGATCCCTGAAGGCCAGAGGCTGGGATGACAGCTGGGTGTGGGGTCTTGTTGCGTGGGTCAGTTTGTGGGTCACAGGTGGGAGGGGATGTTGGGCATCCCTGGGGACTGGGAAGATTTTCAGATGACATGGACACCTCCCTTGCACTTCAGAATGTGCCTGTGATGCACCAGCTGACCCAATGGCCTCCCACCACCTTATGACAGTGGGGTCCCTGAGAAATTCTGAGTGGGAAGTAGCTCTGCCTTCGGGCCTTTATTCCTGGCCCTGCCATTCTCTCCCTTCACGGCCTTGGACAAGTCACTTTCCCTGTACTTCAGTTTCCCCATCTGCAAAGTGGGAGGGATAAAGCTTCCATAGATCCCCTGGGGAGGCTGAGAAACTAAATTAATTGATTTGAGTGTAAAGGGATGGTAGAGTTCTCTGATCACCGCACTAGGAGTGCCTGAGTCCTCAGACCATCTCGTACTAATTTAAACCAGGTACTTCAGTTTTCTGGGCCTTAATGTTCGTTCAGTGCTTTGGATATGTAAAGTGCTACAGAGTTGCTAACATTATTAAGTTTTGTCACCACTCTGCAGCATCTCTTGGTGTCCAAAGTTTCTTAAATCCTTGTGTTGGTATCTTTTTTTTTTTTTTTTCTGTCTTCCTCCATCCTTAATGATGCTGTGTTGTGATTAATCTCCAGCTGAGATGAGATAGAGTTTGCTCATTCCGGAGCCCGATGGAAGGAGAAGAAATGTGGTACTGTAATGTTGGGCACTCTTCTGTGCCTGGACTTTGATCAGTTAGGTTGCTAAACCACTCAACGTTTATGTCACCAGGAGTTCATGCAGAAGTCTAACAGAGTGGACCTATGCTTTTGTGTGGCTGTTTTTCAGTGTGGGTGGGTGGTGGGTAGATAATGAGGTGTTTAAAGCAAATGTGTGACTGAAGAAAGTCACTAGGTGTTCACCCCCCCAAAAAAGGGCCCTTCAAAGTTTGTCTCTCGATCTCAGATGAACACTCCTGACAATCAGAACTCCCCCCCCAGTGATGGATCTGAATCTGCATTCTATAACAGCCTCTCTCTCTTCACTTCTGCAGACTGTCAGCTGGAGAAGCTGCCTATGAGGCCTCGAGACAGAGCTCGGGTGATTGATGCAGCCAAACATGCCCATAAATTCTGTAACACAGAGGAGGAGGAAAATGTTTATCTCAGAAGGTAGGAAACCTTCTCTTCCTCCATTGGCTTCCTTGAAGTTGCTGTGATACTGTCACTCTTTGTGCTCCAAATTTTTGGATGAAAATAACTCCTAAAATTGGTAACCTGAGTACCGCTAAATCTGAAGTCGTTAACACTGTCATCAGGTCATTTGCTGGTATTAAAGAGACATGGTCAGCTTCCAATAAGCTTGGACTGCCAGCACCCCTGCTGTTGGATTTCTGATAAAAGGAGGCCATTGAGAGCCTATTGTAAATCACTTTTATAAACACATTGGTCACTGCAATACAGAGTTGACAGGTTAAAGTGCAGCCTATTTGGGGACGGGGACCTTGTGCTTTGTTTTCCTCTTCTCTTGGATTTCAGGTAAATTACAGCACTCCGGTTTTCTAGTCTTGCTGTGACTTTTAACTCTGTTTGGGAATATTAGTATTAAAAATCTCGTACACATTTACATGGCCCTTTACAACATACCATAGACTGAGACACATTCTCTGACCCAAAGCATGTACAGTCTGAGAGAGAAGACTAAAGACTTGTCTGTATGGACAGTTAGGTTGTGGCAAGCTGGTGTGTGAATCTATCCACAGTAGTCAGAGGTTTGCAAATTGTCCATGTGGACCCTGCTGCCATGCACTGAAAGTTCTGTAGTGTGCTTGGCTCTACTCTCATTTCAAAATGGGGCAGCAGAGTCCACAGAGTCAATTTGTGCACAGCAGGTTAGTGTAGGGTAGATTTAGACCCCACTTTGCTGTGAACTAAGTGCTTATATAGACAAGCCCCAAGACAAAACAGAACAACAGCTCAAGTAAGGAAGGATGTTGATTTTTCATTAGGGATAAAATCAAGGTAGCAAGCCTTTCTTGAAGAAAAATCTTTTAAAAGGGGGTTTAAAAGAAAAGGTGTCTTTGCCCTGGGCCTTCCACTACGGTCTGTTGCTGTGATGTGGCTTTCTGCCTTCTCTACTCCTCCAGCAATTCTAGTTTTATGCCCCATTCATGATCTCTTTCCCCCATGTCTCTTTTAGTTGGTGTCCAGAATGAGACTATGTATTACACCTTTATGGACACCTAATGAATTGTAGATCTGTTAGGTATACACAACACCCAAGCCACTATCTCATTGCTCATTCAGAATTATTTCTGTTTACTCTTAGGTGTTTCTAATGCACTGTCCTCCTTAGTATCTAGACAGCAGTAGCTGATGCCTTTCCATTTTTCTGTAAATTCTCTCTTTCTCCCCCAGACCTGAAGGTATTGAGCGGCAGTACAGGAAGAAGTGTGGGAAGTAAGTGTCAGCAGAGCAAATCATTTCAGCATAAGAGATGCTTGTTTTTTACTTTTCATTGTATGTCATGCCCCCTTAGAAATAACATTTCTTCTTGTCAGAGTAGCTGCTGGAGACAGGAGATTTTTGACTGGTGTGATGCGATGGGGGTATTAACATTTTGTTATCCTGATCCTGGTCAAGTAGCTGGGGCCAGAATATAAAGACCAGGCTTTTACCAGCACTCCCATTTGTCACAATTTGATTGCACTTTTCATTTTTGTTGCATTTCTCAATTTGGCAGCTCAGGAAAGCAGGGAGAGAGTTGGGTACGTATCACATAATGGAAGGAAAGACAAGACAGTATTATAAAATGGGCTTTTGAGAAAATCTGTGGCTCTTCACCTGTTGACATTCTAATGTTTGGTCTATGATCTGTCTCCTTTGATAATCGGTTACCTGAAAAGAAGTTCCAGCCTGTACAAAAAGGCTAATTAGCTACATGGTCACTGGACTAGTTTGTGGTACAGGCTGTTTTTAAAGCTCGTTTGGTAAATAAACTACAACCAAGGCCTCTGCGTGTGAGACTGAGATCTGCACTCTTTCACCAGTAGATGTGTTATTGTTTCCAGGTGTGGACTTCTGCTCTTCTACCAGCACCAGCAGAAGAATGCCCCAGTTACTTTCATTGTCGATGGAGCTGTGGTCAAGTTTGGCCAGGGCTTTGGGAAAACAAACATATACACTCAGAAACAGGAGCCTCCCAAAAAGGTAAATAGGCTTAGATGAGTTACAAAGCTATCTTTGCCTTTCGAAAGGGTGTGGATAGACAAAATGACCTAATAGGTCTGGTCGTCTCTGCTAGAATGCCTGGCCCCTGTGCCATATCACTCTAATGATCCCTTCTAGTTTACCTGAAATAGTGGTGTTGACTGCATTCAACTTCTGCCAAGGAAGACCAACATGAAGTTTTTTGAAACCGGAGGACAGAGGAATAAGGGTGGGAAGGGATCCCAGCACCTGTTAGATCTTTGGCCTAAGTAACCTAGAAGATCCATTTGAAAGCATCTCAGACTCGTCACCTGAATATTATCTTCTCTCCAGTTCTTGGGGTTGAGTACATTAATTCCAAGACCTGGCACTGCTTGGTACCAGCAAACCCATGTGGTTAATATTACTGTGCCTCCCATAAAAGGCAATACTTAACAGTATGGATTTACAGGAAAAGCCTTCAAGGCTATGGAGTAGCGAAAAGTTATTGGTAACACTAATGTACACTGAACTAAAGTAAAATCTCTTGTTCATTTCCTAGGTGATGATGACCAAACGGACAAAAGACATGGGCAAGTTCAGTTCAGTCACGGTCTCCACCATTGATGAAGAGGAGGAGGAGATTGAAGCAGTGAGTTTTCTTTGCCCTGCTAATGCCAGCAAGATACCAAGTTACACAGGGGTTTTGTTGGGACACCAAATCTAAGTTCTCCAGAAGTTTCTTGTCTGAATGACAACATTTTCAGTTTAATTCCATTTTAGCCTTTCAGTCTGATCCATACATAAGGGAAGTCCATTATTCATCACATAGAAGATTTGAATTTCCCCATGGAAGTTCAGTCAGACAGAATGCTCAGTTATCCATCTAAGTATTTATGTTACGCTCTTCACCATAGTATCTGGCTACCTGAACGTTTCTGTGGCTAATAAGATTCATGCCACAGGCATGGATCATCCTACCAATACTAGTGAGATGGGTATCTTCTAGGCCAAGCTAACAAATAATGCTAGTGAGTTACTATGCAGTAGCCATCCTCTCAGCACTATTCTAGGAGGGCTCCTTAACTTACTTTTCCCTCTGTGCAGCAATTTGAGGGGAATTGTGACTTCATTCCTGCTTCTCCTTCCTTGTCATTCTCCTCAGTTTATTTTGCATTCTGCAATGCTCTTGGTTGAAATAAATGGATGATCTCAAGTTAGGTGTATTCAGATTGGTTAAGACTGCATATAGATAAGCAAGTAATTAATATATTAAACATGCAGGTGACAGTCTCCTTGTATGGTAGTATTAATAGTCTTCCATCTGGTAACACAGACTCCTTTAGCCGGTCTGATCTCCCCTGAACTGCCTCTGCCATGATGTTAATGAAGAGACCTGGTCCAGAGCACACATTACATATCAACCTACCTTGATTGCATTTTGCGTGTACCAGCCAGAACATCATGGTGATGACTAAAATTGGCCAGTGACTTGTGGTCCTGATTCTTTACTTCCTGTTCTAAGCTGTTGTTACCATGCACTTTAAACAGCAGGCATGCTGCACCCTAGAGGTGACTGCATTTCAGTGGCAGGAGAAATTATCACTTTATAGTTTGCCTGTCAACCTGAAGCATTTTGAGATCTGTTGGGAGGACAGAACACTGTATAGAGATATAGCAGCACAATGAAGATCTTTTCACAGGTGCAGGCCCCACACTAAAGATGGGTAGTGCTCACATTGTCACTAACTTTATACTCAGCTGGAAATTGATCCTGCCCATCTCACTTACGAGCTCAGTGAGGCAGTGCAGTTCTGGCCCACAGTATAACACAGTGATGCTGTATATTTTTCAGCGAGAGATTGCAGATTCCTATGCGCAGAATGCTAAAGTGATTGAAAAGCAGCTGGAACGCAAAGGCATGAGCAAAAGGAGGCTGCAGGAACTGGTAAGTCTGTTTTGTTTTCAGTGCATTGTTGCTGCAACTGTATCTTTGTGGGGTGTCCAATTCCCTTGGGTCTGTTGGCAGTATACATAAGCAGCATATCTTAATACCCTACAGTGGGTTTACAGAGTTCACATGCCGCTTTGGGGGTGGGTGGTTGTTAAGCTTAACAGTCCAAATTATTTATGCTTTGTATTTTTAACTTGAATTGAAAAATTTATTAAATAATAATATAAAGAAAATTCACACAATTATTGTAGGTTTTCCCCCAGTGATGTAAGCTCCTGTTGTTAGACATCTCCTCATAGGACGGGTAGGAGAGGTAAAATATGGTGACGACTATACAGAGATTTTCTCTAGTCCTCTAAAATTGAAGATCATAGAAAATTATATATAGACCTACTCAAAAAGGGTAGTTTATAAGACACTGGTGCAACCAGGGCAGCCTCTGTACCCAGTTAGCCCATGAATGGTCAGATCAGAGCTGGGGGAAATTACCCCAGAACTTGAGCAACAGAATGTGCCTTACATTGTGTCCTCAAGCCTGCCACGCTCAGGCTTTAGCATAGGCTACAACAGGGAGTAAGTTACAGAAAGGAGGGCCTGCCAGTGCAGTATCTCTGCTGCTGGTCCTGTAAAGGTCAACTTAGAAACCAACAGTAAGAACATGCTCGGTTATCTTAATATGGCGACAGGCTTATAGAAGTTGGAGATGGGAAAGATTTACTAGATTATCTAGCTCACCTTCCTGCCAGTGCAGGATATAAAGTGTAAAATGGCCTCTTCTGTAACTAGTACCAGACCATTTGGGGCTTCAAAGATTGTAATCCACCTTCTGATTTGCACCCAGAAGCAAAGAGGGTAGTGAATGAAGAGACTTGAAGCATTTTGTTCTTCACTTAGATGACAGGCGGCTGCATGCTGCATTAGTAATGCCCAGATCAGAAGATCATATCTCAGAGTGCTGGAGATAAAGTTACTCATGATGATGTTCTTGTGTAGAGTTTTCATTCTGTCCCAATTTTTCTAATCAGGCTGAGCTGGAAGCCAAGAAAGCCAAGATGAAAGGAACCCTGATAGATAATCAGTTCAAATAAGAGGAATCCACATCAGATCATGCTCAGGCAGCTGAATATTTGGAGAGGGAGGAAAACCAACAGCAACTCCTGAGACTCCAACAGAGAATTCAATCAACCCTGCAGACCTTAAGTACAACTTTTAAGAGCTATGCATCGAAACCAGCTTGGAAGGTGACACTGTCTCTGCTACAGACTGTACTTTGATCTCTGGTATTTTAATACACTGAAGGACTTCAAATTTTTAATTTTTAAAATTACAACTTCTGTGCACACTCGAGTGTTTTGCCTGTCTTTTTGGGGTAATATCTATTCCAGAGGAAACCCCTCTGCCAGGTGTGTGCATGGGATTAAGACACTGTTACAAAAGATCAGTGTGTTATTTTCAGATGTACATAAAATTCCAGTAAATACCTTAGATGTGTAGGTAAAGCAATAATCTATGTACAGCAAATAAATCCTTATAAAGTAAGTTGTCCATGTTCTTATTTAAAAAACAATTCTTCAAATCATGCAGTATATACAAAGGGAATTCTCACCCTAACACAAGCTGGAATGGTAATAATCTACCCAAATCTTCAACATGTTTACTTAACTGAAAATCTTCACTGAATAGTCTTGAAACAAAGTCCCATGATGCAACGCAATTGGTAAGCAGTGTGTCTTTATAAACTCCCAGTTGAATTCTTTTAAGATCATAGGAATTGCTGCGTTCCCAGCACTTTTGAAAACTAGGCCATTTGAGTGCCTGACTAAAGGTACTTAAGAGTCCCTACTTTTGAAAATCGGAAAACAGTGGTGATCAAAAAGTTTTTAAATCCAATTGTAACAACAAAGCCCGTGGTACAAATGTGGCAGGGTGAAGTCCAAACCTACCTTAGATGACTGAAAACAAAAATTGGATCTACACCACCAACAATGCCTTCTTTAAACTAAGGAATGCAAATATAAATATCCTGGGACTAATAAATGAAATCCATTGACTACCACTTTAACTTGAATAGTACTTCTGTCTCTAAAGTGTAAGCCATCTCCTGCCCAAAATGTCATTAGTACTTAGACTTATAAGAAGAATAAATGGATAGGAAGGAAATTTAGAATGTAATTACTATTAAATATGCACTGAAAAGACAATAAGAATTCATATATAATCAGAGTTTCAGGCTAGAAGGGACCACTGGATCATCTAGTCTAAACACCTGTATACCACAGGCCACCAAAGCCACCCAGCACCTACACACTAAACCCAACTACTGGAATTAGACCCAAGTATCAAAGTTCACAGGAGACTAAACTATTATGTGCCACAGGGAGAGAATAGGAGGAACCAACGTGCACCAATGTCAAGGTCCCTGTAATGTCAGGGAATTGATTAGGTGAGATATAGCCACAAAAATCCTGGCAAGTGACCTGAACCCATATGCTGCGAGGAAGATGAAAACTCTCCAAGGTCATTGCCAGTCTGACCTGAGGGAAGAATTACCACCTGACCTCAAATAGGGCGATCAATTAGACCCTGAGCATTTGAACAAGAACCAGCCAAGCAACAGAGAATGCTCAATGCTGCCTCAGAGCCCTGGCCACCCAAGCCAATGTGCCATCTCCAGCCATGGCCCCCTCTGATGCTAAGAGGAAGGAGACCAACAAAAACCCCTCTGCTGGTTAGAAACCTTCTAATTTTCAGCCTGAATTTGTTCATGGCTAGTTTTTGTGCCAACATTATCCTATAGTTTAAATAGCTCTTCACCCTCCCTCTTGTTTATCCCCAATGTAGTTATAGAAAGCAATCATATCCCCTCTCAGTCTTCTTTCTGCTAGGCTAAACAAGCCGATCACTTCCTGTCTCCTCTCATTAGATAGGCCCTCCATTTCCCCTATCATCCCAGTAGCTCCTCCTCTTCCCCTGTTCCAGTTTGAATTCATCTTGCTGAACGTGAGTGAGTAGAATTGTACACACTATCCCAGATGAGGTCTTACCAGTGCCTTGAACAATGGTGTTAATACTTCTCCATCGTTCTGGAAATGCCTTGCCTGATACATCCCAGGATTGCATTTGCTTTTTCCCACAGCTGTACCACATTGGGGCTCAGCCAGCTTGTGAAACCCGCAGCTTGTAGCAGAAATTTGTATTAGCCCCAGCGGCATGCACAAGGTGGGGGCAAGTAGGGGCCTGCCCCCCCATAATCTGCAGGGGCTCAGAACTCCTCCGGCCAGTGGCCGGAGTGGGGAGAGCGAGCTCCTTCGGCCCCGGCAGCAGGAACTGACAGCTCCTCTGGCCCTGGGGCTGCAGCCGGGGCACAGAACATGCCTGTCCAAAAGGACTCAAATTTTTATTCCTGTGCACGCCCCTGATCTGAAGCCTGTTTCAGAGGCTCATTAGTTAGAAGACAGCAGGGTTGTTGTGTATAATAGATGGAGAGGGCAAGAGAAGTAGTGACTGGGTGGAGCTGTACTAAAGGGCATTGGTTTTACAAAGGAGTCAGAGAACTTGTCTGATTGTGGTACCACAGTCCAACCAGCAGAGGGCCTCACTGGATAGAGTCAATAAAACTGAAAGAAGGGTGTCCTAGACTAGTGATTCTCAACCAGAGGTCTGCATACCCCAGGGCGTACGCAGAGGTCTTTTGGGGGTACATCAACTCATCTAGCTCTTTGCCTCGTTTTACAACAGGCTACATAAAATGCACTAGCGAAGTCAGTACCAACTAAATTTTATACAGACAATGACTTGTTTATACTGCTCTATAGACTATAGGCTGAAATGTAAGTACAATATTTATATTCCTGTTGATTTATTATATAATTATATGGTGAAAGTGAGCAATTTTTCAGTAACAGTGTGGTGTGACACTTCTGTATTTTTAGGTCAGATTTTGTAAGCAAGTAGTTTTTAAATGAGGTGAAACTTGGGGTATGCAAGACAAATCAGACTCCTGAAAGGGGTACGGTAGTCTGGAAAGATTGAGAGTCACTGTCCTAGACTTTTGGCTTTGGAGTCAGTGTCCTTTCTTGACCTCAGCAAGATAGAAGAGTGCAGAATCAGAATGTCACTTACTCAAAAGAGTTCTACTGAGATAAGGAAACATACAGTTCAGTCTCTTTGTCCTTTGAAGATTTGAAGATGTCTTATCACATTTCTCCACTGCAGGCCTGTCCCACTGCATGTTTGGACTTAGGCTGCTGAAAATCAGAGCACGTTTCTTCCGCGTAGGAGCCAGGGATCGGAAATTGCTTTTAAAACTAAAAATCATTCTTATTCAATACGATTACAGTGTGGTCAATGATGTCAGCTGGGATGCTGAATTTAATTTAGTCTATGGTTGGCACTAAACATGGAGCCTGATCCTGCTCCCACTAAAGTCAGCTGTAGCCAAAGCCCTGCTGAGTGAATACAAAGAAAGAGCTCATTTCAGGACCTTTCTCTGGAAGGACATACAATTACCACTTATTACTTCTCTCTGTGTGTGCATATGCATGCACTGTTGTATACACAAGTTTTCACTAGTTCCATTAAATCAGTTAGAATAAATAAAGTTTTGAGAAAAGATAGTGGAGTTAAAAATCAGCTGCTGTTAATAGTCACTTGTGACATTTTTTACACCCGTGATTAACTTCTTCATTCTCAGACTCTCCAGCAATATTAGCAAGTACAGGGAAATGGCCTTTTCTCCCTAGGTTTGGCTTTGAGAGGACTAGCCTGTGCACAGTAGCAGGTCTGATTTCCTCTTGTGAATAAAGATCTGTCTAATAGTTCTGTGATGGACCATTATATCTATAATTAAAATCTCTGTTCATGCTCTGCAACCTCAATAGAGCTCTGCCTGGATACAAAATTTGTATCCGCATCCCATCTGCAAACATGGTCCGTGAATCTCTGCAGATTCGCAGGGCTCTAACCCTAGACACAGCCAGCCACTAGAAAAGGGAGGTGGGTATGCATCACAAATTCTGGGCCTTGCATCAGTACAGTTCACTAATACGTTGTATGGATGAAGGAGACAGGCAACTGGCACTCTGTTATAATACACCCTTACACATTGTTGGGTCAAATCCCATGTCTAATTAGGTCTACTCACCCCAGAAGGATTTAAATTACTTAATTTTTTCCCAAATCTAAAGGCAATAGGATATCATGGTGATGTGATCCCTGTGCCAGGGGCAGGAAATCTTGTGTTCCAATCCCAAATCTAGCACTGAAATAAAAAGTTACTGACTGTTTCCATGGAACTTCTCAGTTCCAATAACAATTTTCTAATGCTCATCAATCCCAAGATATTCAAATAAACAAGAATTTATTTTCTTTCAGAGCGCTTGTAAAGGCCAATTTTTGTTTATTTGACACACAAAGCTCTGTAAAGCTCTGTGGAGGGTGCTGTAAAAAACTGACCCGGGAATGAGCTTACACATTGGGGATAGTACATTGACCTTTTGCTCTTGGAAATCAGCGTCCATTGATTAAGAAGAGAACTGGAAGACAGGAAAAGCAGATTCTGTTCCCAGTTCCACTGCTGAGTGGCTGGCTGGGAATTTTCTACACTGCTTTGTGCTGCAATGTCCTCATCTGTAAAACGCTTACCCACCTTTGTCAAGTGCTTTAGTGCGATATATGGCCTGAGTATAATTATTAGTGTTACATTCTGCCTTAGGGGCTGTCTGCACACACAAGTTGTTCTGTTTTACCTATACCCCCCTAGCATAGAGACAGTTATATTGGTAGGAAGGTGCTGTACACCAACACAGGAAGGGAATAAGGCCTTGTCTATACTAGGATTTGTCTGGTATAGCTCATAGCATAACCTCTACAGGAGTGTAAGCGAAGTTATATCAGTAGCACTGTGTCCCCACTAGAGGTTGTGCTGATGTGTGACGTTCCCTACACTAGTACAAAATGTGTGTATGGACCAAGGAGAATCTGCAGGGGGGTGGGGGGAAGAACTAAACTAATTTGCATCTCACCAAACAACCGCACAATCCCTCTCAATGAGCAGAGCCGCAGGGGACATTTCAGGTCAGGCATGTGCTAGGCAATGTCAGTGTAACTCCTCCTCCTGCCTGGCTGATCCAGGGACTTTCAGTGGAGGGGTTAAGGTTGTAATGCTGTTGGGAAGCCACTCCCCACTGGGGAGTCAGCATTCACAGCTGGGCGGAAGGAGGGGCCACTCCCTCCTCTTGCGTATGCAGCTCTGTTAATGTCCTAAGAGGAAGGATTTTGCAATGGGTGTTTCAATGAGACATTTGAA